TAATTCCCTCTGCCTTGCAAAGTCATCCCAAATCTGTGACATAAAGATTGCACTGAAATGGCCTATCAGGCTTTGGTGGTGGTGGCAGCAATGGGAAAGCACCATCCCAGCACACTCCTGGGGTCTCCTCATTTCAGACAGAACCTTTTGCCACTAGCACTTTACAAATGCTTCTTTCTCTCAACTTAATTTTTCCATCCCCTGTAACTCCCTGGGTTTCACTCTTCTCAGGGGAGACCTCCTTGCTCTCTACAACTCCCTGAGAGGAGGGTGTAGAAAGGTGGGTGTTGGGTCTCTTCTCCCAGTAACAAATGATAGAATGAGAGGAAATGGCATCAAATTGTGCCCGGGGAGGTTTACACTGGATGTTAGGCAATAATTTATTCACTGAAAGAGTTGCCAAGCACTGAAACAGGCTGCCCAGGGGAGTGGTGGAGTCACCATCCAGGGGGGATTTAAAAGATGTGTAGATGTGTCACTTAGTGACGTGGTTTCCTGGTGGGCAGAGTTGGGTTCATGGTTGCACTTGATGGTCTTCTCCAACCTAAACGATTCTATGATCCACGCCCAGGAAGGGGATGCAGCTTTTCTACACAGGGTGGCACTGAGCCTGTCCTCATCCCCAGCTCCTGCTGTCCCCTCCCTCCAGGTTCCCAAGCCTCAGGCTGTGGTTTGATTTCCCTGGGAAGAGGGAGGAGGAGGCAGAGGAGCGGGGCCAGGCTGCCACCTGCTGTCCAGCTCCTTCCTCCTCTGGACACACACCAAACCTCACCAAAAATCCAGAAAAAATACCCCAAAACCAGAAATAATGCACGTGCTGCCCCCCAGCTCCCCAGACTGAGCTGTCTCTAGCTCAGCAAGGATCAAGCAGACTCCAAGGAGATGATGTGTATGGTCAGGACGCTGAGCTTCACAAATTCATGGCCTTTTAGCCTCACCTCTGAAAGCTTGTGGTGCACCACAGGAGGGGTTAACACCCAGCAGGTGGGAGCTACAAAGTCTCCAGGGTCAACTTTCATTTTGGAAAGGTCAGTCAAACATAGATCTTCTCAAAGGGGAGCCCAGCACGCCCCTGGGTTCCAAAAAAACCTCCTTGAGTGTTTCTTTTTCAGACAGTCAAACACAGACCTTCTCAAAGGGGAGCCCAGCATGGCCCTGGGTTCCAAAAAAACCTCCTTGAGTGTTTTTCTTTCACCATTAGATGAAGATTCCATGTGTCTGCTCCAGGAAAAAGCAAGGAGAAAATCATTACTTCTTTCTCTATATCTTTGTCCTCTTCCCTCTTTATGAGGAAAGTAGAAAGAGTTCCTGTTTAGCCTTCAAAAACTAAATTCTTCAGTTTTGTTGGAATATTCTGTTTTATTCTTGATAAATACTTTAAGAGTTTGGAAAACAGCATATGAATTTTCAAACTTGTATCATTCAAAATGCAATCAAAGAGTAAAAATGCAGCAGGGAGATATTAGGCTGTCTTCTCTTCTGAAAAAGTTATAAAAACCTCACACATTGCCTGCTGTAATCCAGGAATCTCAAAACTATTCAACTCTGGTGTCAAAGTATTTTTTGATTCACAGTCAAATGACAAGCCTAGAAGAAATAATTTGGGAGAAAGGAAGGTGTTTATTTTGTATGCAGTGGGTGGCTCTGAGGCTGAGGACTCCACGGACAGATGCACAAGGGAAGATGATGAGAAAAATCCATCAGATTAGTTCTCTCACATCAGCATTCATGAAAAGCTTCATCAAACCATCAGTAAGTCACCACAGTTCTTCAAGGACATGAAAAGACTCACAAACTCCCTAAGGACAATAGGACAGGGGAGATTTTTTAATCCAGAACAGCAGCTCTGTGCCTCTGGCTGTAGCAGCATTCAGCTGAGGCAAGGGGACACTCAGCAGGGCCCTATCATGCCTCTAAGCCACCCAGACATGCTGAGATCTCTGTCCTTTACAGAAAAAGCTCAGAAAGGCCAAGCTAAGAGTTGTAAAGCAATAATTTTCAGTAAGGAAGCTGTAAAGCAAATTTTCAGTAAGGCAGTCCCAGTGCAGCCTTGCCAAAGCCTGGTCAGTGTTTGTCTCTAATTCCAAATGAATCCTGTTGTGGAAAAAAACCCCAACCAAACCAGCCAAGCATGTCCTCCACATCCGAATGTGAGCACAGAGAAGAGATCAGACCTCACTGAGAAGAAGAGCAACGTGTGCTGTGACAGCAGCAGGGCAACAAGCACCACTGGTGGCAACTCTCCCAGTGTGAGCAGCATTGGGGTGTTAAAACCTGTCCCTCTGAGGTGCTGTTCTCAGTGTGCCTGACCTGGCACACTGGCATGGTTGGGAGACTTCCCAGACACCTCGATGCAATCTTGACAGCCAAAATCCAAGCAAAAATAGCAGCAACCAGGACACACCTATGAGTTATGGCAGTTACTCTGAAAAACCACAGCGAGTATCACTGCAAATGAAAAGCATTGAGGAAGGGGGTGTTCCACAAGGAAAAACAAACAACAAAACTAATCCCTATTCAAACCATTCTGTCTCCAAAAGAACATAAAAAACATTCTAAAAATAATATTATATTTGTACTTGGCAGCTCGTTCTGCAGCATAGCACCAGTTCAAAATGAGCCCTTTTACTCTTGTTTATTGAATCCTCAAGCTGACCTATTTTATCTGGTACTATCAAACCCTGTAAACTATAAATACTGAATAAATTATATCCTGATGTTACACACTAGTCAAGTTTGCAGGAACTTGAAAGAGCCCCATGTAGGTCATGCAGCCACACAGCTTATCTGTGCAGGAGCTGGACCTGACCCCTCTGTACCATGAGAACTTGCTCTGATGAGGCCTCTGCAGCCTATGGCAGAGTGTGCCCTAAAACTGAGAGAGGTTTCTGTTGGAAGAGACAGCAAGAGGCACAGAGAGGTTTGTTCTGTCCCATCCTCTCCTGCCCCAGTGCTCATGGGTTGAGAAATGTTTTACACATGACAGAAAAGCCCTTCCAGCAGTGGTGGCAGTAACTGAATTTTCCAGCAGGTCCCCACCTTGAGGACTCACCTGCTTTCTCTCTGCAGGGACTGTGTTTGCCTGCCCTGACTACAAAGGCCAAGCAGGAGCAGAATTCCTCACTAAGGTCACAGCCACTTGCTCTGCAGTCTCTAAGATGCCATTAGGGGTTTCCTACGTTCACTCAGATTGTGGGGCAGGGAAAAAAACATGATGGGATTGAATTTAAGTCTCCTAACTTGAGAATTATCCATGATGGAACTTGGCCAAGACAGACTACCCTTCCTGCTGCTGTCGTTCATAATCATCTCTGCCTTCTTTCTTCCCTCAGAAATAGCTTTTTAAAAGATGTATGTATGGACAAGGTCTTTCTTTTTATTTCCAGATGAAACTATATATTTATTTTTCAGTGAAATGACCAAACTAGAGCCAGATTAGTGGTATCAGCTACTGGAGCCTTCACAACACCTCCTGAAGCTATATATTCGCTTGTGAAGGGGACATCAGGAAGTAACAATTTACATAAATATATTTTAAAAGAGTCTAATTCTTGCAATTTTGGCTTTATTTCTGGATAGTATTTATCTACAATGTTTACAACTTTAGTACCAAGATTTGAATTAAAATCTGAGGTGCTGAACTAAAGCTTGTAGCACCCAGGCAGATTTCAGTCAAAGGTGGCATGAGAACCACTTTGCACTTGCATAAAGCCCACAGCCCCTCAGCTTCCCAGCTCATCAGAGGCCATACTACTGATTCCAACTTTCTTATTAAAAACACCAAAAAGACAGCAGACTATCCACAGGATAACTCATTTCAGTCAGAAGGATATTTCACTGGAATTCTCAGAACTGTGATTGTTTCTTTTCCAATGGTGAGGTCTACAGTGCTTCATTAAATTTCATGTCATCTATCAAAGTCTAATTACAGCTCGTTATGCTTTTTCATTCTTGCTTGTCCCATGTAAATCCCATTTGAACTGAGAAGCTCCCAGCTCTGAATTAAGAGCATTCTTCTGGCATACATACACTCCAGCACTCTTAAAAGCAGCAGTCAGTGGAAGGGGTTTTATTCCTGTTCAAAAGGCAGCACTACTGAATTCCAATTTCATACCTGGAATTGGCTCAATTAAGACCCAAAACCAACAATTTAGTAACATTATTTTCAGCACTTCATTCTTCTCCCAGATATTCTGAGTGTTAAATTACCACAGACTTCTCTCAATACTTCAAATATAAAACTGTTCTTCAGAACAATCTTGCTGCAGACTTAATGATGGACAGAGCAGGATTTATGGCCTAGGACTATTGACCAAAACTGTGCAAAAAGAACAGATATATTTAAACTGGGACAACAGTTACAACCTTTATGCTTTACCGTCAGGAAAGTATCTGGGAAGATCAGTGGAAAAAATAATTCAAGGCCAGACTCTGTGGAGACCTTATTGTGGCCTTCCAGGATATGAAGGGGGCTTAAAAGAAAGCTGGGGAGGGATTTTTCACAAGGGCTTGTGGCAGTGTGCCTACTCACTGGTCCTGTAGCTTCCAGCAGTTCAGAAACCTCAGCTATCTGGGGCAGCACCCTACCACTCTGTGCCACAAACACACCTGAAGTTAAAAGAAAAACCATGTCAAAAATCTTGTTCTTTCTGGACTATTTTAATGAAACAAATACAAAGTGACGTAAACACAGGTCAAGGAAAAGAAGATGACAGAAGACAGAATAGTTAAACCAGAAAGCACAGTGAGAGATACTCATTCTTGTGAAGAATGCCAACCAAATCACATACTAGTTAAAATTTCATGTCAAGTGCTTCAGTAAGATCTCTTCTTTGTTTCTTAACACAGTGAGTCCACAGATGAGTACGGAATGGGCTATCCCTGAATTCATGGCAACAGGTCCTACAGAGTGTATTCCAAATTTCTCCAAATAATGGAGATGGAGGTGGCTAAAAAGCAAAAGAAGCAGAGAAAGTGAGGACCCTTTGTTACCCAGCCTGGTCTCCAAAATGGAACGTGTTTTCTAGAGCCCATAATCTTTGGCATAGGTTCCTCCTTCACTGCCTGCGTGAACGCTTTAACCCCATGACTGTGAAGGTTGCAGCAGTCAGCTTCTCATACACTAGGAACATGAGAGCTGCAGTAAGCACTGTCTGCAGGAGCTTTGCTTCAAGGCCTTTGTAGAGTCCCATTAATCCAAAACGCCTAAGAAAAGGAAAAAAACCAACATGAAATCAAGTGTGATTAGCCCTCTATAAATAAATCAGTACAGTATGAAGAACTAGTAACACAAATTAGTGACTACTGTAGGAATCTTAAATTCATTCTTGATCTCTTGACTGCCAGCTGTTTAATAGCATTTTTAAAGAAAATTCTGCAGAAAGTTAAGCCTTTTGTGCAAGAAACTTGCTTCAGGTTGAGAGGTGAATGAATGGGTATCCACAGACACCCTTGATGCCATGCACTGTACAGGTGCTGAGGAGAATTGGGGTTTGTGTACTTATTCTGCCATGTATTACAAGAACCAGGTTGATCCAAATGGCAAGTTTTCAACATATTAGTAACACTCAAGTCTTATATAGCATGTTAGGGGGAAAAAAGCTGCAAGGGCAGCTCACCTGACTCTCTGCTGGAGCAGGTAAAGGACGTTCCTGAGGCTGCCCAGCGTTCGGTTCTCCGGGTTCAGCCTGTGGCGCCCAAACTGAAACAGAAGGAAGAGCATTTTGTGGCAATATTCCCCCACGGTGCTAGGCAGAGAACCCAACTTCTTGACATCTTGGATCCACCACTTCCTTAAGCAGTAATTCTCTTCTTCTCCTTGCTGCTGCTTATCCCCAAGCTGTTTCAGCAGCCATGATAGCAGCCACTGTCATCTGACGTCTCAGAGTTAAAGCAGCAATTTCAGCCACTCTTTTTCCAGCACTCACTGATCTCTCACCTGATACAGGCCAGCAGCACTGCCAGCAATCTGTAACTGTGAATTATTCATGTACAAGAGTTGCCACACTTGTATTTGGGACAACACAGCCCAATAGCTTTTGAAGCCTGTATTATGCTTCTGTGGTAACAGATGGAAACAGCAGCAACAAAACACTAGTGGAAAACTCCCTTTATTAGGCAAATACGTCCTCACAACCCACGATCTCATCAGTAACTAACTCATTTGATATTGTCACAGACTCAGACACACCCCAAAAAAACAATGCTAACTAGGTTCCAAGTTACAATGCCAGTCCCTGCTCACATTACTCATAGGCTTCCATCAGAGCACACCAGGACTAGGTGCTTCTCTCTCCCCTTCTCTGTGCCATTGGACTATTTTTGTACTGCAAACAAAGGTTCATCAAGGGAGGAAAAAAAAATGTTCATTTCTCCTTAGGACTTCAGTATTTCACAGATTACAGAAGGTTTCCCAAAGGGACTAGCAGTCTCTGCACTAGAGAAGAGAGGCTGAGTTTTAAAGAGAACTTTTTCACCCACAGTCACTAAGAACATTATCAGTTTTGCTGTTTCTCCAGATAAATTTAATTTATCTACTGTTTAACAACACATAGGCTAAAGAACAGTTTAACTGTATAATGAGTAACACCAGTGCCATGTATTTTTAATGACTGAAAAGGAGGTAGGACATGCCAAATGGCAAGGCTGGAAGCTGCTCACAACTACCAGTTACTTACACAGGGTGACTGTTCATTATATGGAAGCAGGAAAAGCCCTTAGCCAAAAAGTTGAAAGCAAAGGCATAGACACTTGACTAAAAAGATAAATAAAATAAATATTATATATAATATATGAAAATAGCTTTCAAACAATAAGTTTGGAAACTGCACTGCTGGGCAATGCTAAGGCTAAAACAGAGCACTCCAACTTTCCTTTCAGTTCTCCTTCAAACCAGCAGAAAACACATCACAAATTAAAACCACACTGATGTTGCAACTTATCCAAACAAAGCTGTATATGCTTCAAGGTTTTCCAGAACTGTCACTTCAGGAATAGGAGCCTGTGTTAACAGTTTAACTCCTGAGAGGTGTCCAGGATGTTAAAAACAGAAGATATCAAAAGAAGGCACGAGCTCAGCTGATCATCGAAAGTTATGAAAATTTAGAAGAGATGACTGCTGACAAAACCACGACGTGGCTGATGCACCCAGACAGAGGTGAAGCAGAAAGCTGTGCAGGCAAAAGTTTTATCTAGTGTCTTTTCAGGGTAACAGCAATCACCCAGTAAATATATTCAGGTCCTATTGGTTAGAAACACCACCCAAACTGTTTACTGCCTACCAAAAATCAAAATATATTCATTCTGCTCTAAGTAGGCAAAAGAAAACCTAACATAACTACAAAACTTGCATGAAAATCACTTTTTCCAGATGAACAATTAACAAGAAAAACTCCCTATTAGGCAAGTCTGGAAAGTGATATCCTCAGCATGGAAGAGAAACGTTCAGTAACTCAAATAATTCTCCAAGTTTGTATACATCTTGGGACATATATAATGGCTTTACCATACACACAATTTAGGGCTCCTCCTTATTTAGGAAACAGGCATTACATTTCATGTGGAAACATTAATATTTAACTGTTACAAAAATCATCAAGAAAGAACTTACAGAAATGGATTAAAAAGCACAGAAATTGAAGTACAATACCCTTGCTTGCATATGGCCAAGTCTTTCCCCCTCCCTGTTTCCATCCTACACCCATACTGGTACATACTGAATCAAACAAAACCTATTCATAGAGCTTTGGTTTTTTTTGGATCACCCTAGGTCACCTGGAAACACACTGGGTTTGGAGGATTTCATTTTAACTTCCCACTTGAGGCATTGTTATCAGAGACCTGCACTGTGCAGAAGCAGCTCCCAAAGCCATGGCTTCACTCACACCAAGAAAACCAAGCCTATGAAGGAGGCTTCATTACCCAGAGGCAGCTGCCCTGAAATGAAAACCTTACTCACCCGTAGAATTGACTGGACTGTCTGCAGGGGGTAGGTGAGGGTGGTGGCAACTGCTTTGGCTACTGCACCAATGACAAAAGCATCCAGAGAGGTGAGCTGTGCAACAGAGAGAGAACATATTACATCCAGAGAGTGTTAAAGCAGCCAGTCACTCCCGTGTAAAATCTGCAATGGGACTCAACAAACTGAGTCACATGGCTCTTGTGAAAAGCTGGTAGTGAAAGACTCTTTGAACATCACTCTATAATCCCAAGATATAATCACTATACTGTCAGGCAGGATTTTAGTCTTGATGACACAGGATTTAATAAAGAATCTCATCCCCTCTTAGTTAGGAGCATCTCCTGGAAGCCCATCCTCACCTCCAAAGCCCACCACATTCCATGATGCACCCAATACACTGTTGGAGCCTAAGCTGATTATAGAGAGGTAGAACTAATTTAAAAGAAGCAAGAAAGAAATATAGCCAAGAGAAGAATAATGCAGAGATATTTTTTATATATATATATATAAAAAGCAGGGACAGAAAAGTGATTCTACCTCTATTTAGAGAATCAGGGAGGGATGGCTGCAATGCTATGGTCAGCTCTAGTGTCCATTTTTAGAAAAAAATATTGAAAAAGAATTGAAGGCTTCAGGAAAAAAGGTGTAAGATGACAGGGTCTAGAAAAATCTGTGATACTTCAGAGGCTCAATATAGTTGATTTACTGTAGAAAGGGTTAAGAGGTGACTTCAAAACAGTCTGTATGTACATACTTAAAAACCAGATGTATTAGAATTGAAATCTCTACTTTAAATCCAGACCAGTGAACAAATCTAAAAACAAATGTGGCCAAGAGATGGTTTTATCTGTACAGGAAGTCATCAGAATATCTTCCCTAGGGATATGAAAGATTCATGTCTCACTTCACAACAAAGGATCCTTTTTAGAAGATGTACCAACTCAAAAAAAAAACCAACAAAACACTAAAAATAAACAAGAATCAAACCCAAACCTACATTTCCAAGTTTGCTCAGGTACCACATGTCAAAGAACCTGCCTTACAACAGAGTATGCCCATCTCCTGGCCTCAGAAGATACTCACTTGCAGCTGCTTCTTCAAAAGCTTCCGTTTGAAGCCTTCATAAAACATGAACTGTATGGCAGGATTGAAGACCAGCAGCAAGGAAGGGAAAGTACCATTCCACAGAGCTAAGACTCCTTCATCTCGGATTATCTGGTGAAAGGCATCTGAGAAGATAGGTGAGGAAAAAAACAAACCACTAGGATTTGGACTATAAAATTCTGACAGTAAAATTCTGACTATAAAATTCTAACAACAGTAAAGTTACACTTGAAGACAACTATTCTAAGTGTATAAAAATCCACTGCAGTCTTTTATGCAACTTCTCTTCCACTCTAATCTGGAAGTTCATGGAAAAATGGTGATGAAGGAGGTTCTTGCTCCCATCACCATTAGTGTCAACAAAGCTTATCACCTTCTCTTTTTAGTACTCAGCATCAACATCAAGGTCTTCTAAACCTTCTTCCAAACAACAATATTTATTTTTAAAAGGAAGACAGCCTGAACACGTGGGTTATTAAGAGATCAAGGTGGGTAAAGTTTAACTTGCAGACTGTCTGTCTAACAACAGGCTCCCACCTCACCAGGCTCACCACCACTCCAGTATTTCTCTTTGCAAAAGGTACTTTAGTTACAGGTCTGCACACCACAAACTCTTTAATTGTCATCAAAATTGGCCAAGTCCAGGTTCTTGTAGAACTCAGTGATTGCAAAGTGATAGGGAAACAGAGATTCCAGGGTGAAATCAGTTACATGATTAAGGCTTCAAACTTCAGAGTCCTTGTATTGCATTTAATTACCTTCTCTTTGAAGACAACAACAGGTGCTTACCTATGATGCCTTTGTAATTGGTGGGTACAATGTCTTCATTTCTAAATTTTGCTCCCTGCAGCTTCAGCCGTGTGTTCACTACCCAAAGAGGAGTGGTCAAGAGTACATTGACTACACCTAACACAAAACACAGCACAAAGAGAATCAGCAAGAAACAGGAGAATATTTCAGAATATTTCAAAACCCTCACCCTCAAAAAAAAAAAAAAAAAAAAAAAACAAAAACCCAAAGTAAAACACCAAAAAACCACCCCAAAACACACCGAGTAGGAACACACTGAAGGATTCTTAAGTGAACTTGTAACTTTGCTGCATACTACACCACACTGGGGCACAAACGCTCCACTTTCTCATGCCCTACTTCTCTCCATGATGACTTGCTGCCTGCCTACTTTCAGAAAGAAACACAGAATTATACAGTTAGAAGGATTATTTTATCAAGAGAAATCAACAGGAAAGCTTGGGAGTTGAGAATCCTAAATTAGGATGGGGGGAAAGAAACAGAGGGGCAGACATAAGGCTGCAACAAAGGTTTTGCAAAATACAATTCCTTTAACAGTGTTCAATATAAAACATAACTATATTTCAGTATCCCTCCTAAGGACTACAGTCAGCTCTCAAAAGAAGTTTAGAGCAAAATGAAGCACTAGGAAAGGCAAGCCACATTAATCTCCCTTAACCCACGTCAACGTGATTACATTAAGGAGCAACAAGCTCAGAGCACAGTGTACTTGTAATTTTTCACCCACACTGAAAGAAAAAGTCCTAAAACCTTATTTTCCAGACTGGAAAAGAATTCATTGTGCCTCTATTGAAGAAACTAGTAAAATGTAAACAATAAGCCTTCCCATACACCCTCCCCCCCAATTTATTTTAAAAAAAATTAAAAATCACAGGTCTTTTTTGGTAGTTTTTTTAAAATCAGCTTGTTTCAGTGTTCCTGCAGAATACTACTTGCAAAATCCTTACATTAAAACCTCTTATTCAGCATAACTGAAAATATTTCAGAATTGACATGCATCTTTTCCTCTGGAAATAAATTACCACCTCTCCCTGCCACTTGTCTTTGACACTTCAATGATCATGTTTAGATAGCACAGTAAACAACACAGCAGGCAGATGAAATGCTGGACTGAACAGCACCCTGCTTTGTGCCAGAATTCACCACAGCACCAGTTTCTGCCTCTCCTCCTGAGGTGGGGAAGACACAGGAGAGCAATCAGAGCTGGACAGGGAAGCAGGTCTGCACACACTGGGAGGTGGAAGCACTCTGCATGGTCTCCAGTGGATTTCATGAAGAAAAACATCAGATAGGATATGCTAAAAATACATTTTTTTTATGAAATCCAGAGTTTTAAGTATTACCTGCAACGACCCCAAGAACCAAGTCTTTCCCAGTGGTTGAATGCTGACCTTTGACCCAGAGAGCTTTAAGACTATTAAATGTATAAAAATAAACAAAATTGGAGCAGCAAAGGCTGGAGATAACAGGGAACCATCCTCGATAGGGTGCCAACCTAATGGAGAGGAAAAAGTCATGGTGAGGATCAGCAAAGTGTTTGTGTGAGCTGCTTGATTCCACATGTTGGTGGAGGGTCCCAGAGATTCAGCACTGGGTACCACACACAACACTAACTAGATGAGGTAACAAACCACACTGAACTGCTAACTGCACCATAAAAAGAAACTAAGCACTTACAGATTATCATAATCAGGAATAATTTATTTGAAAAGGAGCTATAAAGACACAAAATATTTACAGTGACAAGCTTGAGGCTCATCCACTCCAAAAAGGGAGTACTACCACCATATCTGCTCTCCACCAACAGCCAGCAGTGAACTACAAATTAAAAAAAAATAGGGTAAGGAAGAAGAATAAAAAAATATATGTCTGGATTCTCACATAAAATTTAAAAATTAAACAATAGTTACTGAAATGAACACACTCCACCAAGGAGAGTTTTCCTGAGGATGCAACTTGGGGCATGAGATATTCAGGTAGAAGGAATTTCCAATAAATGCCCTGCAGTAAAGTCCAGAGCAGACGAGCCAGATAAGTGAGAAAAAGACATTACCAACCTAAATTTAACTAGATCAGTCACAGATGAGAAACTGAACCCCCCCTTATGAATTACAGCTATCTTATTTTTCAGGTGTTGTAATTGTCATTGTTTGTGTTGTCACCTATCTTGATTTAAGAAATTATTTCACAAGAGCTGCCTGACAAAGCTCCCTTCTCTGACAGACCTGATGAGCCTGTAAAGCAGGGACACCTCAACAACACCCCTGCATCCCCAGCATGTTCCACAACACCTCCAAGAAAAGATAATGATACACACCTTCACTGAAGCTGCACAGGACAGGTGGAGAACTGGTATCATGATAAAAGCACCAAAAAAATTCTCCTCAACAACCAACAGTCATCATGAAGGATCTTGAGTATGCATTAAAATATTTGGAATACAGAGAATATAAGGACCCCCAAGAAGGAGGCTGTAGAAGATGAACAGCTGGTAAACACAGCATCTGACTGTTCTTAAAATCTATATGCTAGTTTTTCATCTTGGATGCATCAGGTGCTTCCCATGTAGCTGGGAACACATGGAATTATTAAGACTGTTTCTGAAGTTACAGGCTTAGCTAACCATAGAGTTTACAAATTAAGTGACCATACAGTTAGTCATCAGAAGAACTAAAACAATTTTTGCACCACTTGTCTCTTCTGGGCTGGAAAAGAAAGGGAGAAACATGCCCCCTGGGGACCATGTCCTCTGAAAGGGTTAGCTTGGTTTTGCTTAGGAACAACTTCTGATGATTTTACAATGAACCATCTTGCACTACAAAGCATGAAGCAAAGACAAAACCCATGAGTTTACTCTAATGACTTTGTTACAGTCAGTGCTCACATCCATAATTCACATACAAACACTTCTGTGCACAAAGAAAGCCAAAGTTCCAGACTGCAACCTGGAGAAAAATCCAGTGTAGACCAGTGAACACTTCTCCTATTCTTTTGTCAACTCCAGCATCCTGGAAGCTCTGCTATACCTAAGAATTCCAGGGATTCACTGAGGAAAGTACTTGTTACAAGGGCACACATACAACTCTTTTCCCCAGCCAGCTCAGCTCAGGCTGTGTAACAAATACTAAAGCAGAGCACTGCTGAAAGTTAACTGCTTTTAGGCAGATCTTGAACCTCACCAGCATAAAGAGTCACTTCTTTCCTTCCACATGCTTGGGAGGAGAAAAACTTCCAAATGGGACACACATCTCAGTTCTCCTGTGGTTCAGCTGCCCAAGAGTTCCATCTGAGCTATGAGAAATGGACACACCCAAGAATCCAGGCAGACCAAGCTGGTTGATCAGGTCCATGTCTGTGCACAACCCTGCATGTCTGAGGAGGCACAGCTACCTCACTGATGCAGGCACAGTTACAGCACTTGGCAGATCGATTGCATAAGGTGCTCAGGAAAATTAATCCAAATTATCTAAAGATGAACACACAAGATTAGGAAACTCATCTCACCCTTATACGGAGGCATTTTAATTTGGAGTAAATATCTGTCCACGCAGATCCAGGCTAACTACTCCACTTTAAAAGCAAACCCACATTAGTTTCAAAGCTTGTCTACATGAAGACAAGCAGAAAATGAATATCTACTCACAGGCCTTCTTCTTTGATTATTTCCAGGAGGACTGCTGGGGTTGTCTTAGACTTCCGCTTCTCATCGACTGCAAAACAGAAATCAAACTTGGAGATTATTCTGATTTTTAGCACTCATTTTCAAGTCCTTATCCTTCCCACTCTGAACATACCCCAGAAAATCACATTTCTTCCTCCTAATAAAGGACAGATGTTCCCTATTCCTGCAGCACTTCCAGAAATCACCTCCTTGCTTTTATTTGCTAGGTAAGGCCACTTCCTTTTTTATTCTTCCCCCCTCTGGCAGGTTCTTCTGCATCTGTAGTTATCAATCCCTAACCTGAGAGCTGTGACATGATCTGCAGGTAGGTTCCTCTTGGGTAAGAGACTAGAATTGGGCCTGACTGCTCAAATGTTGGATGTTCCTACTCCCAGTTCCATCCCTGTCTTTTCCCTTGAAACCATTCTCAGGAATAATTCTAGACTAGCTCTTCATGACACTGCCTCTGGGTTTTCAAGTGTTTTCAGCAGCCAAAAGCAACAACACACAGATGTAATCCTGTGGAATCTCATGGCTTTGTTTTTGCTTTTGGGCTTAGATAACCATTTAAAAGCCACGTCTGGCCACACATCACACAGCTTTTTTCAGCTAATTAAAAAATTACCTAATCCTTTCAAGAGGGAGGACTACCTTCAGCTAGAAAATGCTGTTAGTGATTAAATGGTGCCAGTGTTACACAGGTAAAATTCTTTTTCATGCAAGAAAGGTCCCCCTACAACCACCCTTCCAAGTGCCCAAGCCCAGATGAACAGAAATGCCATTGTACAAAGAAACCAGAGTTTGACACTTACCCTGAAGTCTAAGCCTAGCTGTATCCAAAGGAAAAAATACAGTCATTGCAGTCATACTGCCCTGAAAAACAAAATAAACTAGCTATACAGGGTATCAGCTGCTCGTACAGATGCCTGCCAGACTTTGTCACCCTCCACTTCTCACCCAGAAACCAGCCTGCTCAGTTTAAAAAGGGGATAAACTCCACACATCACAAGCTCTGTTTGAAGTGGGTCTTGGCCCCATGATTAAACACATTTTTATTTTTCTCTTCTATCAGATTAAGCTAAAATTAAACCATTAGAAGCTTCTTGCCCAAAGAGAAAGTTTTTAGGTCTGAGAGCTGATGAAGTGGGAGTTGGGAGACAAATGTGCTGCACTTTTCTACTTCCCACTCACCTCAGTACTCAATCTCTAGCTAAAAAAAAGGGACTATGTTACAATAGCATCATTTTGACTTAAAAAAACCCACAGAAACTTTTGCTCATTAAAAAACTCATAGTATATGTTTTTCAGGACAATCTGGCATTGTACTAAATTCCAATTTCAGCAATAAAGATCTGCCTACAAAGACTCACCCTGTGGCATGAATTACATACAATGAATGAAATCACAACCTAGATGCCACCAGATTCACTTCTTGTGACTCCCACACACTCTTCACCTCCTGTGTGAGCCACTAAAGCCTCTAAAACTGTGGCATCACAGCAGCCATACAAACTGTGTAACTGCTGGGAAGGTCTGGGACACCCCAAGTCACACAAGCACACTGCACAGTCCAACCTGACCTTTTCTAGAGCTGTGTTGTGCCATCCATTTGAGTGAGCTTTGCCTCTGGAAGCACTCACAGCTCCCAGGCAGGCTGCTGGGACCCAGCTCCACAATCACCAGCAGAAGATTATTTTTCAGGTAGTGTGTCCTCACTCAGATAACTCTTGGCCAAATTTCTCCACTTTTCATAACACCAGGTAGCTGATGAAAGGAAACACTTGGCCACAAGTACTCAGTTATTTTAACTCATTTGTTCTGGCCTCTAGCCAAAAGGGTTGGTTCTCCTCTCCCACAGGCTTCTCCTGTGTCTGCTCATTCTCAGTACCTGCTGTGTACACAGATGTACCCATCTGACTAAAAACTGAGAAAAAATACATTTCAGTTAGAATGCTAGTGCCAGCACACCATGAAGTGCCAGAAAAAGCCCAAATGTATCTCGTAATGACAGCTGCATTACAGCAACTCTGAAGCCAGCCTCAAAACACAGTTACACTCACCCATGCACAAAGCAGCCCCAGGACTGCACAGACACTGAAAGTTCCAGCCTTCCCCTCCTCAATTTATCCACCTCCCATCCTCCTGAAGTGACATTAATCCTGAATCCTGCTCTCAGTGCAAGGCACCAGACAGCAACACACACACACTTGCACTCAAGATGAGAAAATAGAAATAAGGGAACAGTTTGGGTAATGGCACACAGGATAAATGGGTGGGCACAGGGTACAAAGGGATAGAATATTTCACTTGGAAGGGACCCACAATGATCATCTGGTCCAACTAGATTGCTTCTGGGCTGACCAAAAGTTAAAGCCTATTATTAAGGACATTGTTCAAATGCCTCTTAAACATTGACAGGCTTGGGACATCAACCATCTCTGGGAAGTCTGCTCCAATGTTTGTCCATATGCTTCCTCACAGCCAGTCTAAACCTCCTCAAAACACAGATGAAGCTACAGCTCCACAGAATGGCATGAGATAACTCAGCTGATTACTGCCAATAAAAGATAATTTGCACCCTCTCCCTCCTTTTGCTAAACTGAGGGGAAAATACTCAGAAAAACAGCTACTTTTCTCCTGGGTTTATAAATGGAAGAACCGAACTACACAGCAAGGAGACTGCACCATGTGGAGGAGACAGGATTTCATGGCTAGGAGTAAGGCAGAGGAGAGGGCTGAGCAGGACCAGCTCTCTCCCTAACAACAAAACTCCTTGAGATGGGCTCAGATTCCTTGAGACCAGCAGGAAAAGAACTGACACTGCTGATTGCAGGATCATGCTGAAAGGTTACAACCCCACGCTGCTGAGAGGGTGAGGTTCTCCTCCAGCCTTCCCACCACCTCCCTGTGGGAGCTGAGTCTTGGTATTCACCAAGTCAAGTCATGCTGCTGCTGGATAATCACTAGGACAGGTACAAACTGGTATCCCAGCTCTTGGTCAGCTGCATCAGCACCCCTGCCTTCCCCATGCTGGTAGCATAACTTTCTGGTCACCCACACGATGGCACTGACAAGGTGACTCATCTGCCTGAAAAACTTTTGCCACGGGGACACTTCTTTGCTCAGATCAGTTCCAGCATCACCAACAACCTCACAGTAGCCAAGAAGTGGCACTAAGTGGCCACAACAGGTGGCCTGATGTGACTGCTGCCAAGAAGAGGTGGGTAGGACCACAGCCTAAAGTTGAGTAGTTTGATTTTTTAAATTATTTATTATTCACCTCTATGGAGAGTTAAAGAATACTTCTGTAATTCAGTTGAATTTCACAGGAAATCAACCACTGATATTATTTTTTTGTGTTCACAAAACCACTCCTCTCAGGTCTGACTGGCTAGCCTAGAAGACAGATGAACTCTCACCATATTATAAAGAAGCAAAAATTATCACCTTATGATCTGATGTGTTTTTCTGACTCATTGCCTCACCAGTTGTTTTTTTTTTTCCAAAAAATTCTAGTATCATATCTGCACATCAGTGTGCTTTACAATAAATTTTAAAGATAGTGAGACAATACCAGAACACTTAGCACCCAAGTGACAGATCTTGCCAAAATTTATGTACTACAGCAGCCAACAGAAGTCTCTAAATCAATGAGTACATCCCTAATGTAACAAAAAAAATACAGGTTTTAAAAAATGCTTCCAGCATAAGGCAGTAAAAAAATAAAGATAATAATTAGAAAGACACTTCTGTTCAGGAAGAAAATTTTTGCTCCAGGGTTTTAAATAGTATATGAATATTAGTGACAGTAAGTGGAAGTCACAAGGGAACAGAAATCCAATAGCTCCAAGAAGTTCTATCCTCCTTCATAGCAACATCACCACTCAGATACAAAACACCCTTCAGTCTTTTCTTCTTTTTAGAATCAGCCTTTATTGCTCAATAACATTTATTGACTTTCATCCTATAGAAGACACTGCAAGTTCTTTGAAGGACTCAGAACAGGAAGTTTTAACAAAAGAGCAATTGCTAAAACACACATTTAGGTGTTCTTGCCAGTCTGGAGTAACTCAAGAGTACAGTTGCATCAACTTGCTTGAAATCCATCAGTGTGCTTGGTCTAACATGCTAAAAGTCTTAATCTGTTGGAAGTACAAGACTGATTTGCTATTTAGAGCATTTGCTCATTCAAAATCTACAGAAACTGAATGGTACCTTTTAATTCACAGTTGTCACATGAAAAAATTCATTCAAAACCTACACAAACCTCCTCTAGCTGCACTGTGCTTGCTTTATGCTTTGATTAATACCTATGCACTGCTTCACCCTTCACAACTTTGAAGTATTTACAAGAAAACAGCAGAATGCAAACAGTTAGTAAAACTTTTATATTACATAGCTGAAGGGTTGTCCCTCGACCTTAACTTCTGGGAGGCTTAAGTTTTCATAGGGAGCTTGATGCCCAGATGAAGGGCGGACATCTGCAGCTTCTCTCGGGCTCAGAGCAAGCTCCAGCTGCCCAGCACGACAAACCTCGAAGGTTTAGCAAATCCCACACCCAAAACTACAGACAAGCAGCAAAACGAGGGCTTTGCGGGCGTGCTCGCACCGGATGGGGACCGGAGCAGAGACTCGGCGGCGGGGACCCCTCACCCCAAGCCCTCCTCTTGTGAGCGCCCAGAGCTTGGGCACCACCGCGCAGGGGCCCCAGCGCCGCCCGCACCCCCTGAGGCCGCCCCCTCGGTCCTACAAAAGCTTGAGGGGGCCCA